TAGGAGCTTTGTCTTGAGGATAATTCTTGCTATATCACTCTACAGCCTCCTCAATCTTAGTTGTTCTTCATTACTAGTACACTTGTTGATTCACCCGTATTCTGAGCTCTATACCAGCTAAAAACAGGAACCAAAAACAAGAAAAGGATAGATGGAGGTAGCTGCGACCACTGTAGAGGTACAATAGATAGTAAAGTAAGTTTGGGCGGGGCTACACGTGACGTTTTAATGATGAAATTTTTGATTTACTTCCGTTTCTTCTCAACTGAAACTGACTACACTTCAAATGGATCTTGGTTATTTGTAGTAAAACATAACTTAATAAGTATGAACAAGAGTACATCATATGTACTATTTTTATGAATTTGTTACCTTTTGATATTGGATAACTTCCAAATAGCCCTTGATCATTGTGAGATTGCTCGAAGCTCCGTCACAAACAATGATAAAGGTTTTTTTGAGAAATGCAAATGAAATAGTTTCAGTGTTTCTCACATGTATAGAAAAATTTACTGGTCATTGACCCACTTGATGTGTAGTATGGGCCCACTATATCATACTTTCCTATTATACCACTTATAAAAGAACATAAAAAATTAAAAAAAACAAAGTTAAGTAGGATTCCGAATGACGAACGAAAATACGGAATGAAAATCCTACTCATGACACAAATTCTACTCTACATTGTACTTTTAATGTTATTATGTCACAATTACGGATCACCTTGCAATATAGAGTAGAATTTGCATCACGTGTAGGATTTTCATTTTGTATTTTTGTTGGTCATTCTGAATCCTATTTAACCTTGTTCTTTTAAATTTTTTATGTTCTTGTTTGTGCTGATTTTTTATTTATAATATTTTTTTAGTTGCCATTGTGATACTTGTTGATTTTACACAAACAATACTTTTCTTTATTATTATTATTATCATTGTTATGACTTTTCATCATTTATGAGAGACATCATTGAAAAGACATGCTGAAGAAATATCAACTATCCTGATGACAAGTGAAATTAATTCTAGTCGTGACACAAGTCCTTGTTCAAGAAGCTGTGAGCTGACAGTGCCCATCTTTCTGCAATGTTGCAGCTGTTCCTGTTCTTCCATGCTGTTGTCATTCATATAATCATGGCATATCATAACATAAACTATAGTTTGTTTTTTTAATAAAATAAAATTGCACACTTGATAAAACAGTAACATGTAAGATTAATACCTTCTCTTAGCTGGAAACCTCCACTAAAGTAGTGCAGTTGATTCCAAGCATAGCTAGGTAAAAAACGTGCTTCTTCCAGAGCTGCAGATCTGAGCATGCACGACCACACCCAAATTTTAGAGCGCATGCTTGATGCTTCTATAGTAACATGTAAGATTAATACCTTCTCTTAGCTGGAAACCTCCACTAAAGTACTGGAGTTGATTCCAAGCATAGCTAGGTAAAAAACTTGCTTCTTCCAGAGCTGCAGATCTGAGCATGTGCGACCACACCCAAATTTTAGAGCGCATGCTTGATGCTTCTATAATTAAGAAAATGGTGGCATGCAGCTAAGATGGTACAATCCAGCAGTCACAGTATCACTTTTTCCTTACTTGAAGAATGATCTGATGGGAGATGGACCTGCGCATAGACTGTTGGAGCAGATTGGTGTAAGAATTATCCTTGTAGCATCAAGTGATACTGAGATACACACAGACAACTGAGTTGACAGGACTTCTTGATGATGATGAAGATGAAAAAGGTGGCTGAACAAAACGGCCAGTTTGCCGATTTTTGACTTTCCTCTTAGACAAAGTCTAGAGCCACACTAGTGGTACCAATGGAGTCCTCTGGTCAAGATAAGGTCCTCTAAGAAGTCTGGTAAGCATAGGAGCTCATTTTCCTGGTATAGCAAGGCTGCAAAAGTAGTGATAGCTATTTTGTTTGGGGGTGAATCCTACCTAGTAACGCTACCGCAATACTAATGCAATTCAACTACCCTGTGAGATCTCCATAAAAATTGAAGAATGTGTGTTTTTTGTTGGAAAGAATCCTTTGAACGCAGCTCTTGGTAAATATCTGCAAGGGATGATTGTTGCTGATGTGTCATACACAGTCCCAGTACTGACTGGCTACGAGAATTCCGCATCAACCTGTTGATGACCTTTACTTCATCAAATATTAGTGCTCCTACATTCTTTGACCCCATCTTTCCTTCCGCCTTTGCTGCGACACAATATTGATGATACTGTGATACCTGCTCTGATCTACAGTCAGAGCTTGCACCAGCCTGGTGCAGAAAAGCCTCAGTGTATGATTGTAGAGTTGATTTAGACGGCAGTTTCAAAATGTTAAACAATTTTGGAGCGTCATAGGCAGCTGGACTTCGAGAAAAAACAGCTGAGGCTAAAGAAATCTAATAATAAAAAATATGATGCACATGTATTTACCCATTTGTATTGTTATGACACTCCACCAATTGCTTGTTTTCCCTGCACCTGTTAGCAATGACGAAACTAATAATATAAGAAATGTAACTTACTGTTAGTACTCTGGTCTTTCTAATAATGAAACATGGCAACTCGTCTGTCATTCTCTCATACATCCCTAATCTTATCTCCAACACCATGACTATCTTCTTCCTCAAATAATTGGCTGAGTTCATCAAAACATTCCCTTTTGATTGATGTCATTACTTCACTCATCTCTTCCTCTTGTTTGTTGCTCAGTGGAACTTCATTACCTTCATACTCTGCATTAACATGCTTCAGAATCTCTTTTAATCTTAGCATCCATTTTCCTTTTGTCCTGACTTCTTGGAGACATGTAAGTTAATGGGGCTTGAGATGATGCACTGCAGCCTGTAATTTTTTTTGCTGGACTTTCCTCTTGCATCTGGTGAGCTAAGTCTGATTTCAATATACTACAATTACAGCAAGGCACAGCTTCCTTTTCTCTAACACCACTTGGTACAAACTTTCCCAATTGAAACCACATCAAACAAGAAGATGAATTGATATGTTTTGTAGGATAATCACTCCTCGGAAGACTTATCAGGTCAAAATGAACAATTTGGCAATACTCATAAGTTGATAGCTCTATCCCGGAACAAAACTTGCACAGTGAAAAGAAAAAGGGTGAAAATTTCGTTATAAGAGACTGGATTTTATCCAGAGATAATGATGGAAAAGCTCCTCTTTCCACTCCTCTAAACAGAATGCTGACAACATACTCATTTTGGTTAGTAATGTAAATTCTACACCTAGAACATAATCCTAGTGGAGGATGATCGTAGAGCCTATGATAAAAAAGTAAGAAGTTTTTTCCTTCGTATTGTGACACAGTGACAACAAATCCTTTGTCTTTCCTATTACTCTTCTTATTAGTGCTGGGCGATATATCAAAACTCACGATATTTAATCGATATAATGTGGTATCGATACTTATCAATATCGGAAAAAATGGAAGAAAATATTGATAACGAGGCCACGCCCACAAAATGGTTACATAACCTTAATAAATGGTTAATTAACTATAGGAGTAACATCTTGAAAATTACTAAAATGTATTTTCTTGGAAAGTAGATGAAGTAGCTGAAGTATATGAAGCCAAAGAAGGGTTTTATAATGCTTTTCAATAAATATTGTTCTCAGAAATAGCTTTATTTAGCCATTTTAGTAATATTAAAGTTAATGGGCGTGGCTTAATAACTTATCAATAAAAAATATCGATATCCTCATTTTTAGGCAATATCGTATCATATTGTATCGTTTCAAAATTTTCAATATCGCCCAGCACTACTTCTTATATTTCCCTCATTTTTGTGTGCATGACCTCGCCCAAACACATAGCATCATCAAAATAATTATTAATAACATTATCAATATTCACTGTAGCTCTTGGTACAAATGCGCTAATACTGGGCCAACACAGAATTTAACTACTAGCATTTATGTGGACATGCAGTAAAGAGTATGGGCTGAAATATTATGTACTCTTGTTATTATCATGACTATTATTAAAAATAATGAATAGAACCGATATTAATAATGCTAGTCCCGTGTTAAAAAACAGTCCAGGACAAAAGAGTCAAGTGACTCAGTAGCTACTGGAGCAAAGCAAACATTAGGTGGAAGAGGTGACTACATGGCAATTTTTGTTGACTCCACAAGTGCACCAACAGCGTTAGGATCAGAAGTCACAACATTCAAGTATGAAGGAGCCAGAAAATCAGAGATAGTAGCATTCCAGATCAATGGCTTACCATGAGACCAAAGAATTAAAGTGACACCATCAGGCCTTGATAAACCTGAAGGTTTGAGACTTGATGGGACACCAGCAGCAGAAAAAGCCCAGTGCAGCACATCATTGACTGAAGCATGACAATGATGCTTTCCATTACCCTTATTACAAAGCAATCTATGAGTATCTAGCTCATCAACCTGTGCTCCACAACAGCAACATAAATGGGGCCAACTTGAAGGAAGACCAAGCCTCAGTGCCACAGCAGTCCTCATTGATTGATCATCTAAACGAAGACCCAACGAAGATATGAGAGCAGCATTTAGCCAAGTGCCAGCCTCTGAAGAAGATACAGCTGTTACAAACCTTATCATCAGTAGCTGAATTTAAGAGACACTCAAAAGATTTTTTTGCCAAAGGACTATCCCAAGCTTTCTGAACAGAACTGCCTGTATTGATAGTAAGAGTACATAATAGGGAGGGGAGAGTGTCTAACAGTCCTATGTACACCTACTGTATGTCTGTGTAGCTGCTAGATGTTAGAATCCGTGTTGCTCCTGCATTCTTTTATTACAGGGGTGGCTCATCCAAACAGAGAGTGGTATGGCCTTAAGTGAGGGAGGGGAAATAAAATGCGCACAAAGCGTGCAGTGATTTTGACCACGCCCACTTTTTGGCCGCGTAATTTGTGTTTTTTTTTACATTTTGGTATAGTACAATTATAAATAGCATCTGCCTGTACACGTATTAAATTGACGGTTTATTAATTTTTTTAATGATTAAAACTGTCCAAACACTTGATATCTTCGTTCACTTTTACTCACAAAATCATTAGCTATATCTGTAAGAGAAAGGTTGTCTGTGAGGTCATTATGTGCATGAAGTACAATTAAACTATTTAATTGCTCCTGAGTCATTGTTGATTTGAGATAGGTCTTAATACGGCGCATAGCACTGAACGATCTCTCACTTGTGCTATTTGTAGCTGGCATAACAAGAATCAACTTCATTAAAACAATAACCTCTGATAGCAGTTCTTTTTCAAAAGTTGATAGATTTTGTAGGTAAGTTTTAACACCCGAGATATCTTTTATATCTGCAGGAGTGTTATTGCTGAGGATTTCTAGCTGTAAAGTTAAATTGGAGATGTTAAAATCTGATTCGTAAATTTTAGCTACTTCAAGCAGAGCATCATAATTTTCTTTATTTTATAGCTTTCATTAACAAAATTTCAAGGCAGCAATAAATTTTGTACCCAGGTTGATCAAATCTATCATCAATAGCTTGTACTAAAAGATCAAGTGCTTCATAGTAGACTTGTCTATACTGGTCCTTAGGTGATGAATGAAACTCGGGAGGTGCATTTCCTTCCTCAATTTTTTTAGGTGCCTTTCTTTTTCTCGGAATCTCTGGTTCTAAGACATCACTGCTAGAAGCCACTGTACTTACTTTTGCCCAAAACAGATCAAACTTTTCTTCATTTCTAAGAGCAAAAAGGGTTTTCTTAGTCATTGTAGCTACCAGTTGATCTTCAACAGCAGAAAATTCCTTTTTCTGAAGAGTTCTACTTAAATTGTCAGTGTTTCGAAGAAGTGTTTCTCCCAAAATGAGCTCGGAAAAAAAAATCAAATGAACGCATTTGAGATTCAACACCTCTAATACATGCAATGGTTTCGCTGTCATGTACAATTTCAACTGCTTTCTCCCAAAGTTCCTGAAGGATAGAGTAGTTTTGAATAATGCTTTGCATTGAGTCAGCTCTCACTGTCCATCTTGTTGGATAAAGTACACGAATGCCAGGACTGCCTGGTGTAATATCCCCTTTGATGCTTTTGAACAGAGACTCCCTTCTTGGAGAATACTTCACTAATTTAGTAATCTCATGTGTAGTATTGAGGGCTTTCTTCAATGTACTGCACTTTTTCATAGCGTCCGCAACTGCCAAGTTTAAGGAATGGCTGTAACATGGGGTATAAAAAGCTTTAGGTTGTTCATCTAGAGTCTGTTTGGCTACACCACTTTTTGCACCACTCATGTTACTGGCACCATCGTAACATTGGCCCCTTACTTTGTTGAAACTTAAGTTTAATCGTAGTAATGTGTCCTTCACTACAGAAACTAGAGAGCTGGCATTAATAGAAGAAACCTCATAAAGGCCTATGAGTTCTTCATTAGCTAGAAGTTCATCACTTACCCAACGTAAAACTATTACAACCTGCATGCATATACAAATATAACTATATAATTGTAGCTATTCAGTGAAATTATCATATACCTGTTCTGTGTTGCTTATATTAGTGCACTCATCTATCATTACTGTTATGAAGTTTGTGTTCTGAAGAGTATTAGCAATCCCTCTTAAAAGTGCATTGGACATCAGTTTCAGTAACTCATTTTGTACTTCATGGCTAAGATAAGACTCATTTTTTCTTTTCACCATTCCGTTAACTACATTATGTCATACATATCCTATACATTAATGGATGCATAAATTATACCTCTTCATCATCTTCACTTCTTAACTTGATCAGCTGGTACAGATTTCCATGACTTTCATCAAGTCCTCTAATTGCACAGCCCTGTTTAGCTAGAATTCTTAAACTACTTTAAATTTTAAGAAAGCAATGGTGATTGCGTTCTCTGTCCTTAGCCAAATAACTCACAAGCATTTGACCAACGTCAGGAGTAGTAGCAGGTATAGTAAATAGTTTTTCGACAGCCATTTTGTGACATACTCATTTTTCATGTTGTCGAAAAGAAACAGTGCCATCTTTCCAATTTGAAAATTCTCTGGACAACTATGATTTTAATGGTACCATTATATAATGATTAGTCAGTGACAAATAACTTACAAATGCATCATCAGAACTGCTAGGTTTAATTACTATGAGATTATCTTTGGTTGCTTTATAACAGTATTAACAGAGAACAGTATCATTGGCTTCAATATAGTGCAGCCACTTTCATGACTCAAACCATGACTTTTGAAAAGAGCGATATACAATAGTTTTCTTCCCAAATGATCTTTTGGGGAAAGGGAATTGTAGTGGCAGATGTGGTCCTTCACCTGGTCCCTGATTTCCACAAGCCATGGATAGCACAAGATTCCGCTCGATAGATTCAGTAAAGTAGGTTATAGCTGCTGCACTAAATTACTAATCACTTAAATAATTATAATTAAATAATAATTATGAATAAACTAATGTTACACCTACAAAATGGAGGCACAATCCAAAAATCTGGTCCGGCCATAACCGGATCAGCCGGACCGTCGACGCCGCCTATGTGTTAGCCCAATAAGTGTTAATTTTTGTCTTATAATTGTACTTGAGCGTGTCACGAGTTATTACTATTACGGGCGTGGTTAGTTATAATGCAAGATGAAATAAATGCTGTTAGCATGACAATAGAAAAAATGGATGGCTTTGTTGTGTCTGCTACTGAGTTTGAAATGGAGGACCAGCTTTCTTACTTCATCACAGAATACTCTATGATTACCCTCCCTTGGGTCCAACACCTCAGTGTAGAATCATAATAACAGGCCATGAGGGAAAACCACATGGATATCATAAGTACTGTGCATATTTTGTTTCGAGAGGTAGGGCGCAGCAAATTTTCTGCAGATCCTGCATTTCTTGATTGTATTCAAAAAAATATTTTCCCTACTCTGCTACATTTAAGTTTTGCCCAGGGATTGCAGAAGCTACATATATAATATTGTTCACTTTGATCCAAAGAGCTTTCGTAAAACTAAAAGTCCTGTTTTTTGTATTTTGTGCCCATTGTGGTTTGAATTGGGTAAATTTGTGCCAGTAACCTCAAGAGAATCGGAATCTGTACTCCCCTAGGCACAAAGCAACTGTCAAGCTATGACAGTGATGGAACAATAATACTAATGAATTTTGTCACTTTACTTTTTTCGTCCTAATTTTTCACAAAACTTAGCAAAGTCTGGAAATAAATCTACCTATCATTTGACACACTCAAACATTGTTAGGAATGGTTGCAAACGATTTTGAGGCTGCAAGCATTTCAAGGCAAACAAATCAAAATGTTGAATGAGTCTGGTCCTTTCTTAAAATTTAGTTATGTAGCTTCTAAACTAGGTTTACTGTGATTTCTTGTTTTATAATGGAAAGATAACTTTTAATAGTATTAACAGAGTATTATATAACATTGTCCTTTTAAGCTGTCTGTCCTTGTTTGCACTTGTCCATTAAAAGTTATATTATACACAATGTTATAATGAATGCACCACTGCAGAGTAATATATAGCATAATAAATGACTGCCGATTGCAGTTATAAATACAGTACGTATGGAAATACAACAGCTGCTTCTTTGTTAATCTGTTTTAGCAACAACAATAATAGTACATCCATTCTCGAAGGAGTTAATTCTCTATTTTTACAAATCATGAGAAATAAAGTAATTTCATTAATTGCAAAATGGGGACAATAACTCACTTATTGCAATAAAAAATGGCAGAAAGTACATTATTTTTGAATGATATTACTCTTAATAATGCTATATAAAGACAATAAAAATAAAATTTGACACAATAACATTCAAAACTACATGATTTCCCACAGATTATGCTAAGTGAGCAAGCTTCATGAGTTGACAAGCATTACACTAGTAGAGTAGATGGCACTTTAAAACAATTTTTAAAAATTCCTAAAAATCCAAATTCAAACGGAATGAGTCGAAACTTTCTAAACTCCATACAATCATGTATATGTATTTGAAAAAATAGAGAATTCTCCACTTTTTATTTTTGATAAAATTTGGCCAAATCCCTGTACTAAACGTAAAATATTAAAAAACCAGCTTAAGTAGGATTCCGAACAACCAACGACAATACAAATTGAAAATCATACTCATGAAGGAAATTTTACTCTACATTGTACTTTTAATGTTATTATGTGAGAATTACAGATCACCTTGCAATGTAAAGTAGAATTTGCGTCACAAGTAGGATTTTCATTTTGTGTTTTTGTTGGTTGTGTGGAATCCTACTTAGGTTTATTTTAAATTTTTTATGTTCTTGTTTGTGTTGATTTTTTAATAATATTTATAATATTTCTTTAGTTGCCGTTGTGATGTTTGTTGATTTTACATAATTTTTTTAATTATCTTTGCCACCAATGCAATAGATTAAAGAATGACTTGGTTCATCAAATGAAATGTACAAGTCTAGAACTAAGTCCTTCAAAAGAAGTGAAGAGGTGTAGCGTGTCATCACTATGTCCCCAGAAAGTCAGTTGAAGAGAACAAGGAATGTGAAGATGAGGACAGACAGTGAAGTACAGAAATTTAGGAAGTATGTAGATGATACAGAACTTCAATTAGACAATGACAAGAATGAAGGGATGAGTCAAGTAGTATCTACTGTAGAGAGTAAAAGCTCAGAGGAACTTGCCAAGTTGTTTGAAGGAGACAGTCATAGTGTAGGAGAAAGAATGAGAGAAGTTTGGGCCACTGATAAGCGGGCAGTACATTTGGAGTTCAAGAATATCAAGACAATAACGATAAGTTTTGGAAATGTGTTTAATCAATATTATTTGTGATTTATTACTTCTATCTATTGGTTAAAGAAGAAATAGATGAAGTCTCATTACAATAAGAATAGGTATGTAAATTGATACATGTATGTAACATTTAAAATTTCATTTGTTATAGCCTTAGCTGTTTTCTCTTGTAGCCCATCAGGGTTTGAGGCTCTTAAGTCTTTCAATATATTGCAGCTTCCATGTCGCTCAACATTGCAATTGTACACAGGAGCTTTCTTACACCATCTGGGTGCAAGCAATGATTGTATTGCTGAACAGGTTTCTCAATTTCTAATTCATTGTGAGAAAATTAAGGCTGAAGGCAAGAAAGAGTCAAAGAAAGTTGCAGTGTTGATTTTTGATGAAGTTAAGCTATTAAATGTCTCATGTGGAATTGACAAAGTCAGGCACTGGATTGGATTGTGTATGACGCAGAAATGTCAATCTTCACTTGCCCACATTTACGAAGTCTTAAGTGACAAGAATAGTGTTCAACAAAGCTTGTATATTCTGCAATTTCTATGGAGAGGCCTAACAAGTATGCTTTTACAATCCTATGTGTCTATTGGTTTTATTTTATTCATTTCAGGTTCATTTGACATTGTTGGCCCTTATTTCACCTCGTCTGGCACTATCACTAGCAAATTTTTGTACTCATGTGTCTTGGAAACGATAAAGCTCTTTCAACTCCATTCCTTGAGAACTATGATAATCATTTGTGACGGAGCTTCAAGTAATGTAACCATGATAAAAGCAACTCATGGTTATATTAGGACATAACCAATATTTAAGAGGTACATGTATATATTCCCATTTTAATATACATATTTTACCTATTATTACTAAAGAAAAGGAGGATCCGTATGAAGTTTTTCCTCATATGTAGAATCCCTTTGACCCTCAAAATCTAATATACTGGCTAATATGTCCAATACATCAAGTATGCAAAATTGCATTGTCGTTTTATCATATAATATTACTTAAGAATATGATAAATGCACTGCATTCATCCATAGATGGAGGTGCCAAGACATTCACTTTAAATAAATCAGTCTCAGTTTGATTGGAGTTCAATTACATGTATGTACAATGATGAATGTGAACGAGTAAAGCAGGGTATGAGAAGAATGGTTCCCAAAATGAAGGAAGTATATTTCATACGAGACTCTTGAACTAACTGAACATAGCCCCTCCAAAGATAATGCAGGTTTTGCATGATTCAATATTTAAATTTTATTTACTGCTATATTTCATACTGCAAGAGCATGTCATGTGGGAAATATTTTACCCTATTGCAGAATCTACAGATGATAATGTACTACAGAGTGATAAGAAGACTCTAAAATACCTTAAAGCTTGCAACAAGATATTCAAAAGGGGTTTTTTGAGTCATGACAGATTTTCAGACATGAACAGTAATGTTTTGATGTCCATTGATGAAGGTTTTTACTTTTTTGTCGAGTGGAGTAACGAAATTGTACTGAATGGTAAATTTTTGAGTATTATTTTGAATAATGTGACTTGTGTATTACAGATCCAGACTTTGATCATTCAATTTCATTACAATGAAGCTTTTAGGCAAGGAAATGTATCGTGATAATAGCCTTTGCTAAATATTTATGGTAATTAATAGCTTTTGACCTGCTCCAAATAGATGTTTATAGCCTCAAGTCTTTCTGTTGTTTTTTCTTCATACAATATCCTGGTAATAGATGGAACATGGCTTCGAGTGGTTTATCAGATATACACCGAAAATGATATTCATAATCCCGAGGGCGTAGCCCAAGGGATTATGAATATCATTCTAGGTGTATATCTGATAAACCATGAAGAAGCCATGCTCCATATTTTTGTACTCATTGGAAGGCATAATGATGAATACCGTAAATCTTCTAAAAATTTAACACTCTAACTTCGTCAAATTAAATAATTTTTTATAAATTTTCACAATATTACCTTTAATTATTCGATTATGCAAAATTACTGGCTGAGTCATCTAATTTTGACATTGTCCTCTTATTTCGGCTCATGATTGACCACTTGCTTCAGTCTACTTTACCAAGCAGCTGAGACTTTGGAATGACCCTCCCTCCAATTTAGTCATTAAAAATTATTTAAAAGTAAAAGAACATTAACCTCTACTTTTTCAATATTACTGATTTTAAGGTGAATTTAATTTGCCAAATTTTTAGAAGATTTACTGTATTTAGGCTTACCTGTCACCATAAGATTGCTAGAAATTGTCCAGTAGTAGCAAAAATCATAAAATTACTTTTTCAAGCGGCGACGTCATTTTAATAGCCTTGGACGTGGTTAGCTTGTCAGTTTACAAAGGGCAATTCTTAATAATATGCATTGCTTTAGCAGGAAGTTTACATCATACTTTTTCTCCAATTTGAGACCCACAATAGCCTGATACAAAAGTCTGGATTATAAGCTCAGCTTGATTTTAAGGTTTTGAAGGGAGAGATTCCTTTGGGGGACTCTTCCTGATTTTTTTACAGGTGGACCTTTCAGGACAAAACTGTCCTGAGCAAAAGGTCAAAGTTCACGGGATCCCCTCTTTCCCTGGTGTATGAGGGATGAACGGATACACCAAGGTGCATCAGATTTTTCCCTCATACACCAGGGAAAATCCGTGGTGTATCATATATATACCACAGCGTGGCACTTTCATCTTATGGCTTTCTATGGTACAAGTTATTATCACCTTTACGTCTGTCTGGGTCAGCTATAGAGTCACTCTTCAGTAAGTACAAGCACAATGCAAATGGAAAACTTGATGCTGCTAATTATGCTACGGCTCATGCTGCTAACTTGATTCATCAGACTGTGTCTACCCATCATAATGGAAAGGGATACAGAGATAATCAACTATGATTAAAGTTGGTACCATTACAAAAGAAACAATAGGGACAAACAAAACAAAATTCAAATTAGTTAATAATTTCTATTTAACTTTTGTTTGCAAAGAAATATGATGCGTTAATAGTGTATCTCTTGAATTTTGTTCCTTTGTTGTTGCATTACCCCTTTCATTAGCAAATTCCTTCCTTGTTGTAGACAGAAATATTTCAAACCTTATATTACATAGTTTACAAATAAACTCCCAGTAGACACTCTTTATTGCGTCTTCATATAGTGCCTCATCAAATCCAATCATTTGTTTCTGCAAAGTCTCTCTAAATAGCTCTAATAAAGTGTCTCTCTTCCCGATATGTGAATAAGCTACCTGAATAGAAATAGCAAAATTTTAAGAGGTACGATAATAACCTTAGTTTCACCATTGTATCACCAAATTCCAAGAAGCACTCCTCATTTACGATTACTTTAACACACTGATCTACTTCTCTAATGAATGGTATAAAGTTTGTGTGTGGTGAATACATATAGCCCCTGTCACTATTTCAAATAAATTGGCGTATTTGCCTTTTTTTAGTATTGACAGCATAAAGTATATCTATTTCCAATGATAATTGCTCTATTCTGCTCGATTCACATGATCTGATAAAGTTATACCTTGCATGATGCATATATGACAGAATAGCCCTCCAAAACGACAATAATTATCACTTTCGTCATATGGAATCTGTTGTACATTGCTCTCTGTTGTCGTCATTGTGTGTATATGCTTAAGTAAAAGTGAATGTATTAACAATGAGAATGTTAACGATTTTAAAACGTGCTGAAATTGTTATCAGAAATTCTGTTACAGAATTTGAGCGATGTTGAACAAAGCTTCTCTGCTGAATTATTCACATTTGTAACTACATCAGTAGGAACACTTTGTGGCAATAAGGAAATGCTACATTGGGTTCGTCAATCAATCTGAAATCTCAAATACTTCTTTCCTTTGTTTTGTTCGTATAAGTCGGCATAAAGTTGAACATGATGAACAAGTAATGATTGTATGAGTGTACTCTCAGCCAAAAACTTATGAAGGTGTACTTTACTTAAAGTCGACTCGCCATGTAGTTTTTGTATAATTTCTGCTTTGAGTTGACATTTATTTAGAGCTTTAATAGATTTTATAATATCTGTCTTAACAATCTACTGTTTGATGCAGCTGCAGAAGAGGACGTAGGCTGATCTTGGCTGCTAGTAGTAGTCTTTTGTACCTTCAACCTTGAATTCATACTTTTCTTCTACTGTCTTCTTCCAGGTTCTTCCACTTGTTTCTGGTCAAAATCATCACTAGCAGGCTCTCTCCTTAAGGTGCTTCATTGCCTTTTCTGTCATGCTATGCTTAACCTTGTTCTGACACTGCTACCTCTTATTACAAACTCTCTCCTTATCACAGGAATTCTGTAAATTTGAGTCATTAAAATGCTTCTCCTTAGTTGTCAAGCGAGAACTCTAAGTACAGTCACTAGTTTATCATCAGGATTGCTTTCAGCTGAACTTGAGTCATCCATGCTTAGGTTCTGTCCATTAAGCCAGCATTATTACAAGCATAATGTGTAATAATTTTATTGAGCATAGAGTAGCTTAGGTATAATATGGACAGTGGTAGTATACTGACACTTAAGTTTAAAGTACCATAAAAATTTTTAACATTTGAGTAGAAACCCATTTTTTTCTGCTGGGTAGAGCTCTCCATCTGCAATAGCTATAACCAATTTCAGCATGTTTGCAATTGCTATTCTATGTTATATTTGACTGCAAATGATTATGGTTGATTGCTAAGTCCAAACAATCCAATGTCTCTTAAAATACAAAAACTTCAACAGCTTGAAACTGCTGACTGAAAGTTTTTAATATGCAAACATCGTTGTTTAAGAGCAAATACACCTTGGTAATGGAGTCAGTTACCGGACAGTGATAATCACACAGTAACAACAAACACAAGGGGGTAGTGGAAGACTATAGACTTAGAAAAGGCTATAGAGACAGCCTGTGATGAAAAATCTCTGTTACTGCTAGAGAAAATACTTGGTTCCAAAGAGCTCCACCGAAATACATGCATGACGACTCCAGCTTTAAATTTAAGCAAGTTTCAGCAAGGCTTGGTCCATCACCTATATATAAAAAGAATGAATTAGTGAGTGGATTATCTGAATAATTAAAATAGGGTATCAGATAGCCTCGCTGTTTAGGACAAAAGGCCGAACAGTTTCCAACAATATTCCTGAAAAAAGAATGGTGGCATGTATTTTACTGAGAAACCCAGAGATAAGCCTATGTATTCCCAAGCACTTTAAAGTTTGTAGAGGAATGAAAAAGGATGTTGATTTTATTTGCTGCATGTGCACAACCTGGTTTTTGTGGACTACAAATAGGCACACCCCATTTTGAACAGTACAGTTGCATTTACACACATATCCAGTCAACAAATATTAAATTTCATCCTTACTATCATTGCTATTTAGTTTATTACTGAGTTACCTCAGAAAAGTCATTAGGTCCTTTACAAGGCCGATTTGTCACTCTCCGGAGACTGCCTCACCTGTCCGCTAACTAACTCACCACCCAGTAGCCTTAAAAAATTTCTAAAATCCACAGGGCAAGAATTTCTGAAAATCCTTCATGGATAGAATCTGGTAGACGCATTGCTTTCCAAAGGACACCTCATCCAGACCAAGGAATCGTGAGAAGTGAGACCCTTCCAAACATTAAGTGTCCGTAAACTACATCCGTTACTCTGATTCCCTGAATGTTACAGGAAATTACGGAATAAAGGGAAGAATTGCTGCAGGTGATGATGATGCTGAACTAGAAATATTGAATTTGAATGAACAGAATGATTCTGAGACTAACAGCAGCTGTGGGTCTGCAATAAAGTTTTCTTCTATACTATGTCTATGGACTGAAATAAAAGCAGCTGCATTGGAATTTGAAAAATGTAGCTACGTCACTATAACGCATTATAATGATATTCATAGAGATATGGCAGCTATTTTGGCTGTACTGTTTCACTCTTAAAACAGTACTGTTCTTTCTAATAAGCAGTACAATAGCTCCTGGAGGCAACTAGTCTTTAAAAGCCATCATTATCAGAAAATCTTGCTCTGTTATCTTTTAGAAGAAGAATTATCAGTTTGGCGCTTAACTACATGTGCTTATGTAAACTATGACATCATAAAACGTCATGGCAGTTAGCTTTGGTATACCATTGGGTTTATTGGGAGAACCCAGTTTTTCAGGGTTCCCAAGG